AGAAAATTTTGAAACTAATGCCACTTACGTTTTTTGACGTTTAAACTCATTATATGTACCTGTAAAGCGAGTGCTAGCCCTCACTCAATACTCTACACAGTTCAAAATTAACCAGCCCGCTTTGGATTTTATAGAGATAGATCAATCATCTCTCGCCTTCTAGAAGTATCAATTGTGGGTTCGCTGTCCACTTTCAGAATATTAAGCCCACAAAGCCATTTGTACTCGAAAGGCTGATTTCTGCTACACTCAGAAAAAAGTCAGCCAAATATATTTCTATCAACACATGATTTGGTAATTATAACCAAATAGTGTAACTATAACCAAATCATGTGTTGATATAAACATATTTGGTTGACGTAACTAAACTCTTTTCTCAGTGTAGCATTGGACCAGGTGGAGTTTATTTGGGGCATTAAAAATTCAAACCAACAGTTCGGTCGTCGCGGTATACCACAAGACCAGCCACCTTTCGCAGAGACGAGGACAATATAGAGTCATATGGCAAATATGCAGAGGCAAAAACAACAACATTCATTCATCAGGTTTGCTCTAGTTTGATCACTGAAAAGACAAGCCCCTTTTTGACGCAGACCACCCAGTGCACATATGCGTTGTCTCAACATAAAGAGTCAATACACGACTGGTATGTGTGGTTTCTCCGGTAGAACATCCGGTCTTCTACTTACCCCTTAAACAACACGTTCAGTACCTTCGCCACATACGAAGTTTCCGTTAGGCGGGAGACCATTAAAAACATTAAAAATCTACCTTTCTCTACCTTCACCCACACTCGCTCTGTCGGAAACTCCGGTTGGAAACAGAGTAGCCGTGGTGCAAGAAACCAGTATTACCAAGCCATCTTATTCCGCACGACCACACTTTCGACTGCTGCGGTAACAAACTTTCAAGTGCCATCGCCAAATTTCGAAAGAACAGACATCAAGGAGGAAAATTTATTACCCAGCCATCAGCAGAATTGGGTGCTACTGCTTCTCACGAGGGCCACAGGTTTTCGTGAACGTAACCGCCTTGGACCGTGGCCCATAGTAGGCGGTCGTTGGCAGATGATTCCGCTTCGCCTCCTTCTTTGAAGAAAAATTAAGAGACACAACCACCACACTTGTGTGATGGTTGGACGTCCCAGAATCCATGACCCCGCAGCAGCAACTGTGTGTGGGTTTTCAATCGTGCGGGTACCTCCTTGTATATGGGTCATTCCATACAAAATTTACACCTCAATATATTTTTTTTGTGTGAAATATTTTTCTTTTTACATTCTTTATCGAAAGAATACACCTATTTTTTATTTCATTATGATATTCGAAAATCTCGAAAATAAATTTTATAAATTTTTGTGAACTTAAAAATATGTATCGTTTTCCAATTTTTTGCAGTTAATAAACTATTTGTCGGAGAAAATCAGTTAGTAATCAAAATGTGCGTAATTACCTCGGCTTTGCATTAGAGTGTGAGATAGATTTAAATAAATATTTTTTTGCATTGAAAAATTGCAGTTTATAAATATATTTTTTTACTAATTATACACCGTTTGATTTTTTTTTTTGCAATCTAAATAGTTTTCAAACTTTATGGACACACTGTAAAAATTTGAGAATGTAAAAACCAATTAATTTTGTATGGAATGTCCTATATATTCTATACGGTTATACTATTTTTTTCAGTATTCTTCCTGTCATCCTTCTAAGTTTATACATATGGTAAGCATGCCTTCCTGCAGATATATTCTAATACCGCAGATGTGAGCATAACTGGTGACGATTTTGATACTTACATTAACCAAAAATGGTTATGAAAATGTTACTCTTAGACAAAAAATATCAAAAAACTTTTACAAATTGTTTAGCAAACCTTAATAAAACACCCTTTAGAGTATAATATTTGCTCACATTTACATACAAATACGTGCAGTAGAATTTATAGATTGTCATTGATAAGAGAGCGCAAGAGCGCTGATTGTTTTATTTGATTAACTCAATACCATTTGCCTGTATGCAATGGTTCTTAAAAGTCTTTGGTTCACATTTTTTTATAAAATATGTAGATCTTATACTCGTAGTAAAAACAAGCAAGGAAATATATGCATGTACATATACATATGTATGTTTTGAATATTAATCACATACAAATATTAATCTACAACACATTTTTTAACTTTATATATGTATTTATGCACACCTTGCAATCGAATTAAAATTAAATGCGAAGACAAAAAATAGAGGAATTGTTTAAAAAAAAAAATTTAATTCAAGCGCAAATATTTTCTAAGAAGCTTTGTAAAAAAGTAATAACTTTATTACATACCGGCATTCGGCATTTGAAGTCGTTCGTTTCACACAGCTAGCAGTGATAATAGTATTTTAATCAGTGCAAATAAATAGATGTCTAATTAAAATTTTACATTGTCCAAAAAGAAAACAGTATGCAAACAGAAATCAGCGCACAAAATGCAAATACAAATATAATTTGTAGCAATTTAATTTATAAGGGAATTATGAGCAATCGCCGATAAGAGCGCCAGCTTAAATTGTCAACAATAAGCAAAGACTAAACAGTGCAGACGTTATAAGCAATTGAGGCGATAACAGTAGTTTTAACAGTGCTTTAACAGCGACCTCGGTTTTAACAGAATATATGAACGAACAGTTTAAGAGCCAATGTAAATGGTCGCTTTACTCTGTTCAAAGTTCTGTAGCGCTCTATTATTTTTATTATTTTTTTTTATTTTTTTTTACATACATACATATATACATATACACTGCCGGAAAAAAGTATTGGCACAGCGAATTTTTCACAATATATACACAAATTTCTATTCTAATATTTTTCCGCTAATTTTTAATAAAAATATTGTTCATTCTACAAGACAAAACACAAATTTATAATTTCTAAACTGTGTGCAAAACTCGCGAAAAGTTAAAGTAATTTTTATGCAAATTTTTAACTTTTTAATTTTTTCGAATTTTTTTGAGTATGCATATGTTTTGTAGCTAATTAAATTCTAGTATAGAAAATGCAAGTTCCGAGTTAGTCAAAAATCGCATTGATTTTTGATAATTTTTTCCGTTGAAGGTGTTTTTTTTCATATAAAGTATTTTCGAAAAATTTTTTTTGACTGGAAGAGACTGTGTGAACAAAAAATTGCTATAAATCAACGGTAATTCATAGCTACTTAGAACTTCTACTTTATTACAATAAAATTTATTGGGCTACAAATCTGCATACTTCCATTCTAATTATTTTATTAAAATTTGAAATTTTGCATAAAAATTTGCTGAATTTTTGCGAGTTTTGCACAACGTTTACAAATTATATTTTTATGTTTTTTGTTGTGGAATGTTTTCATAAAAAATTGTCGGAAAAATATTACAATAAAAATCGTTGCATATATTGTAAAAAAGCAGCTGTGCCAATACTTTTTGCCAGCTGTGTATGTATATGGCACACATTTTTTTACATACTTTTTCTTACATGTCGTGGCGCCAAAATGTGCAGGAGAAATTGTTTCGCAAACTTGAAGATCTCATTTTTTTTTTTGTCGGCTTATTTCCTTGTTCCGCCATGAGGTCTGGTTTTCCATGCTGGCTTGGATGAAAAACAGGATCTGCGGTAACTAGACTTCATCTAGCGTAGGAGAGAGGCAGAGTTGGACCCAGTGGTCCCGTTGTGATACGAATTGAGACCGTTCACTTACAAGTAGAGCCAGTTGGTTAGGTCAGCGCGAGAATTCATGAATGTGCGCTTCACTTAGGTCAGCCAGACAGACAAAGAGGTGGCGGTAAAATGAGAGTCTTCTCTCCCACGAAAGGGCAGGACAGTGGCAGAAGTAGTGTTCCACACTCTCGTTTTCGTCCACGTCGCGGCCATTTCGGTGGAAGTCCATTCTGCTGGCATGCCCTCCTATTAAGCAGTGTTTCACCGGCCTTAGTAGAGGGCGTCGGAGCTTTTCTTGTCGAGGCTGGGCCGGATTTGTCGAGTCGTCCCACACGTGGGTTCTTTTGACTATCTTTTATTTGCTTCTCAACGAAGTATGTATTGGGGCATGTCTTGCAGGTAGATAGCGGTACGCCGACCGCATGAGAGGCATTAACGTTAGACAGGGTAATTCGCTTCCTCGCAAGCTCGTCCGTTGCACAGTTACCTCGAATGACCCTGTGGCCCGGCATTCACATAATGTGGGTGGTAGTCCTTGAAGCCAAATCGTTAGGGACTTTTCTACAATCTACCGCAGTCACTGACGAGGTTACACTGCAATCTAATGACTTAATAGCTGCTTGACCATCGGAATGTATAGTTACTGAAGGCAGGTTAAGGGAAGATTCCATAAGCCAGAGTGCAGCCTCTTTTATGGTCCCGAGTTCTGCTTGGAAGACAAAGGTTTAATGAGAGGTCCCTGGGGTGTATTCCACTCCCAACTCTTCGATTTACTTTAGATCAATCCGTGTAGGTGGCTGTGGAGTATTCGAGCGTCCCCCAGTCCTTCCTCGAAGGGGTATGAGTAGAGAACTTATTCTCGAGCTATAGCGGTGGAGTCCTAAACGTATCGGCGTAGTTGCTTAGAATATTGGAGCTACCGAACTGGTGTCTTTCCATTTAGGCAGTACATTTAGTCTTACTGCATTGCAGCTCGCTTGTAGCTTCCCAAAAAAGTCTGCGGGCAGAAAGTTTAGGAATGTTTCCATGGCTTTGGTGGGTGCGGATGGCAGCGCACCTGTTAGGAGTAAGGACCGCTGTTTCTAGTTCGACATTCTGTTTAGAAGAAAAAACTGTGTTCCAACAATATCTGCGTGAAATTTTATATCGGCGCATCTTAATACACCGGCGGGCATCTGCACGAATACTCGCCTAATTTCAAGTGCAAGTGACAAGTTTATTACAAATAAATAGTACGTTGTTCAANTAATAAGTACACACACAAGCTACCTCTACCACAACCACATACATACATTAAGATACAGTTGCAGTACATAGTACAAGTTTGCTAGTAACTTCATTAAAAATATCCGTATGCTTGTTTTCATGGGGTACAAAGCCAGTAACGAAGAAACCTAAGAATCAGTTGCTTGCCGCGTGCGATACGCAGCAAACACGTGAACGGTCTTCGCTTCGAGTCAGATTAAAATATAAAGTGAAAATTGGCTGAAGTGAGTGAAAGCGGGGGAAAAAATATATTTGAGTAATAAATCCTTTGAGGAAACAATAAAAATGTCAAAGGATAATCTCATTTCGATGGAGCAAACGCGCAACGATAATCCGCCACTCGCTGGCTTCATCAACACTGCGCGCCTAGATGCTTGTGAGCAAATTGAGATGCAGGATGTTGTAGGAATGCCTGGCAGTGGCAACGTCAATGGCCTGGACAACAACAGCTACAACAGTGCCGCGAATGGACACAGAGGCAGCAGGTAAGCGGCGGAGTGGTGCTGGTGCCAGTCCTGGTGGTATAAACGGTGCCGGTAGTCGTCTTGCTATCACCGATATTTCCACCACACCGCCACGTATGGATTCGACGCGCAACAGTTCGGAACGTAGTCTGCCATTGCGCAGCTATAGCAAGTGGTCACCCACCGAGCAAGGCGCTACCTTGGTTTGGCGTGATCTGTGCGTCTATACGACAGGCGATCCGAATGGGACGAGTGGTGGTGGCAGCTTGCACAAAATGAAGCGAATCATTAACAATTCGACGGGTGCAGTGCAGCCGGGCAATCTGATGGCGTTAATGGGCTCCAGGTGGGTGGATGTGTTGTGTGGGTGTGTGCGCCTTAGCGAATGTGTTTAAAAGTATTAATGTTTGTGCGTGTGCATGTGCATGTATGTGTCTTTGCTTGTGCGCTTGAAACATTGAAGGACCTTTATCGTGTCAACGTCAATTCGCGCCTTTACTCCGGTCGAGATTGCTTTTTGTGGCTTTTGCTGTCAGTTCGAGATAAATATTCGCTGGCTACTTTTCTGCTTGGAAAGTGAATTATTTAATTAAATTTTTTTTTATAAAGCAAAAATTAATATTTTCACTAACTTTAAATTCGGAAGGTACACAAAGCTTTTATCTTGGCTCGTGCAGAGATAAAGTGTCATTTTATTTATAATCTCGCTGGTCGGCCAAGAGTTGTTTTAGCGACTTGTTTTTTTTTTTTAAGTAATAACTTCATTGCCGTTGAGATTCTAGCAAATCATTCGAGTGAAAAAAAGCTTCTAGGGTATTTATGCCTATTTACGTACACATATGTATGTATATACATAAGTGTATAAGTATGATATTGTGTAAACGAGAAAGCGAAAAGGAAAACACAAAAATTGTTTACTCAGAGGCGGGGAACCAAATAAGAGATAAAATAATTTTGAATTGAAAAAAGTGAATTTCTCTTCAAACAGACCAGATCAACAACAAAGCATCCATTAAACATAAAGTTGCCGAGATAAGACCAAACCAATCTTTTATTTTAGAAATACGTAGTCTAAGGCATGTCACTCAAAAAGCCTAGTTTTTACTATATACTTGAAAAAGACCCAGTTAAAAATAAGAACTGCACAGAATACAGAAAACAGAATTCGTTAATACTTTTATGAATTGGTTATTGGTTGAGTTAGTTGTCTGAAATAAAAAGAAATTAAGTGCGCCTGGACCACACTGGAGAAGGCAAACTTACGTTACACATCTATTTTGTCTCTTAACCAATACATGTACATACTTACATGCATACTTTCCTTAAGGTTATATATTTTTTTGTCTTCTTATTACATTTATTTTATTCTGTTTTCCTTTATCTTAATTTTTATCTTTATACTCTATCGGTAACAAAATCGATAGTAACATCCAAAAAAATATCGATAACAAAATCAATAAAAATTTCGATAGCTAAATCGATAATAATATTGGTAGCAAAATCTATTAGAAAATCCATAAAAATATAGATAACAAAATCGCTAAATAATCGATAAAAATATCGAACACAAAATCGATAAAAATATCGATAACAAAAGCGACAAATAATCGATAGCTAAATTGATAACAAAATCGATAAATAATCGATAACAAAATCGATAAATAATCGATAACAAAATCGATAAATAATCGATAAANGATAACAAAAATTTATTACAAAATGGATAAAAATATATCTGTGGATATCTATGTAGTTTATAAGACCAAGTTTGCTGCAGAGACTTGAGCCTAAAACCTACTATGTATGATTTGAGCACACACATGCTTCGCCTTAAATTGAAAAAACTATAAAAACAGACCTTCTTGATGCGCTTAAGGAATTGGAAGAGCAATGGAAAGAAGAAAAAACACTGAACGGTTACGTTTATGTCTTAGTGTTAGAAAAACGCACAACAAAGTTCCGCAATTTTATTAAAATCAGTCC